GTCTATTATGGTTAATGAGGCTGGTAGATGTGGTACTATTACAGGAACAAATGAACAGATATATGAATCATAAGAACAGATTGCAGTCTTAATAATTTTTCCAATCTAAACTGAACCAGTACTCCTGTATAGAATGTCTATCTGAATGAAACTTAAAGTGCTGGCTTAGGTGTTAAATTATAGGACAATAGCTGGACACCTACCAAGTATTAAAGGACAATTAACAGAAGAAATCCTCCTCAGGGGTTGTTCAATATGCTTTGAGAAATGCTCGGTAAAAGTATTGATGATAGTTGCTCTTCTGGCTCCATTCAATTATTAAAAAAAGAATTGAAACTAATTCCTTCTGCCCCTTTTTGTTCACCTGTTGGAAATGAGGGACACCCAGTTCTTCTAGCATCCAAGGCCAGCATTGCCCTCCTTCCAGACACTTTCCCCACCCGTGCGTGGTGCTGTGCAGGGGGATCCCACCCTGCTGCGTACTGTGCTGAGAGCTGAACATGGGCTGGTTTGGCTGCTGGAATCTCATGGACATCCCTCCTTGGCACAGGGGTGGGGAGGGGTCCTCCTTCAGCCAGCACAAGGACTCTTGAATTTTTGATGGTGGCATCTTTTTCTTTTTTATGTAAAGATGAAGAAATATGAAAACTTTTTATCACTATATTGTGTCTCCTTCCATTCAGAACTGAGTACAGCCACAGAAATGTATTAATAATACACACGATTTAGTATATTGTTACTTTAATTAGTGCTGCTCATGTTGATAAGAAGATTGGACCATATCTATCATCCTGGCTGTCTGAGATTGTTAACGGATATTAATTACATTTGGTCATTTTGAATAATGGACCTTCTGTAGGACTGTAAAGAGACAACCAGAACTTTCTCTTGCATTTTCCCATATGTCTTCTGAATAATTTAAGGGATTTATGCAATATATTGTCTCCAAATGGGAGTTCTTGCACAACAAGGAAGTGGAAAGTAAGATCATGGCCTTACACTTTGTTCAGTCAAGGAGCTAAAAGATCAGGTAACATGTATTCAATTATATTTAAGAAGTATATGTAGTTCTCTTGTCCATGATTAAAAGTTATATTGTAGAAGTAGAGACGATGCAAAGAAGGGCAAGAAAATGACACTATTGAAGGGATTATAGGCTAGCACATAAGAGAGGGAGTGATTGAGGAAACAAAACTAATTCTCTCTGCAGACAGAAGGACTCAGGGGAATATGAACACAGTCTATAAATATTTCCAAGGAGATAACACAAATGAAAGAAGGGGATTATTAATGTTATCATAAGATGGCTGCAAAAGAAGCAATGTCCTAAATGTAAGACAGGAAAAGTCTATAACAGCAAAGATAATAAATAATTATGAATAGGCAATCTTTATGGGTTTACAAACCCTTCTGGATGATATCTTCAGTTCACAGGGTATCACAAAACTAGCTTAAGCATGTCCATGCCCCCTACCTCCTCCTGTCAGTTTAAATGCTATTTCACCAAGCAGACCCGGATTCAAAAAGATCTCCTTCTAGCTAGAGTAGCCTGTGGCTCCTTCAGGGACTGGAAGGGCATGACCCAAACCAGGCTGACACGGGTGCCCTATGGTTAAAGTTGTCTAAATACCTGCATGAGCAATGTTCTCCTGTCCCTCCAGACCCCAGCTGAGGGACCACCTTCAGCACATGGTGGCTTTTCCAGGAAGAAGTAGATTCACCTCAAAGCTTGGTACCAAGCCACGAGAATTCCTGTAAATGCGCGTCCCCCATCCATGTCCATGCTTTCCGAAGCCTCAGCCGCTCCCATGGCTTTGATCATCTCCTCATTTCCAGTTATTTTAGCAGTACCTCCCTCCCCCACTCCCCCATTCCTGCCTTAGTCAGCTCAAATATCTGTAAAATGACTTACAAATGACAGGGTAGATATTCCCTTATGGTTTCTTTTAAAACATTGTATTTATTTCCATTCCCTCCTAAAAATTGTGTCTCTTTTTGTAAACTTTCTTTTAAATGTATTTCAAGGGAGACAGTGCTCCCTTTGTATTTAGCCTCCTAAATTTGTTCATAACTTCCCCAAGACTGACCAGCAAAATTGACTATGAGCAATCAGAATTGGTGTCATGACATTCTGCTTTTATAGCAGTACTTTTGCTACCATTAATTGAGCCAGGCAGGGCAGATCTAATCCCTTCTTGAAGTCTGTGAAAAAACTCCCACTGACTTCAGTGGGAGTTGCAGCCAATGAGTGGCCTTGACAGTGAGTTCAAGGGCATTTGTCCACAATCTTAGGTGAATCAAAATCTCATTTCATAAGAAGGAAAAAAAGCTGATGTGGATACTTTGAGGATAAGAGTGTGCATTTGTAGTACAAACGTGTTAAAAATTTAAATACCTACTGTGAGTAAACAAATTTACTGTAGCATGAAGGGGGATTTTCCTATTAAATTGCTGATTTAAAGAGAATCTAAAATCTTTAACTTTTGGAGAAAGCTGCACTGATGCTTTGTGTCCAGTATGAAAGATTTGTTTCAAGAACTACCAGCCTTAAATATTTCTAGCATCTTTTTAATAGCATAAAAAAAGAAGTTCTCACTTCTTACATGTCACTAACACTCATTGATATAAGCAATAAAATAGAATTAGGACAATCTTCATTATTCTGTCCTATTAAAGGCTTTCTATCTCTTAGTGATATTATACCTCAAGACTACGAAGATTTTGCCACTTCTCTGAGACACCTGTGTTTCAGTACTCACCCCCAGTCCCTCATTAACCAGCCTGCAAATGCAAAATCATTTCACCTATGCCGTGACTTTTATTACCTACAGCCTTGTTTGGTTTTAGTCAGTAGCTTTTGCAACTTATTCCAGGCACATCAATGCCACTTTATCTCACATGGGACACTCAGATCTTTGTTGCTGGTCTGAGTGCAAAGTTCCAAGATGCTCATCTTCCCCTGGTGCTCAGTGAGGTATAAATATTGAGAGTTAATTTTTGGAAATTACATTAAACTCACTCTTACATACTTTGAAAACTTCACTCTGTCAGTGTAAAGGTCTTATTTCAAGCCTATAAGGAAAAGAATATATGGACATTTAAATGTTATCTTAAAGTGTAAAGATATTTTCATAATATCAAGGGAAATCAAGACTGTGTATGCTTATGCCTTGAGCACACTGCATGAGTCCCATAATGTATGTTTTCATTGTTAATTGCTATCATCATTTGAAATATTTTTTGCTTAAGACAACAAAAGAATTGCAGGAGTCTGGGAACTGAAGAAAAAAATCTGTCTGTGGATCAGGCAAGCTGGTGGTGCAGTACTTCCAGTAGTAACTCAGTGTCGGTCAAGTTATCATATAATCATGGAATCACTTGAGTTGGAAGGAACCTTACAGATCATCTAGTCCCACCCCCCCTGCCCCGGGGAAGGGCCCCCTTCCCCCAGCCCAGGGGGCTCCCAGCCCCGTCCAACCTGGCCTTGAACCCTCCCAGGGAGGGGGCACCCACAGCTGCTCTGGGCACCCTGGGCCAGCACCTCACCCCCCCACACAGGGAAGAAATTCTGCCTTACATCTTATCCACTGCTACTTTTACTATCAGTCTCTTTATAATCATTTTTGAATGCTAAAACATCTACACTGTCCCCCTACAGAGATTGAAAATCTTTCTTCATAATAAGATAAATAAATAGGACAGAGAGCGAAGATGAAACTGTTTAATAAGAATAAGTATGAACTTGAACTCATGTTTTTTCATACTCTGATCCCTAGATTTTTGTTGCTTTGTCTCTGTTAAATGTTTCTACTGCGCTGTGGGGAATGAGAGTGCTTACAGATTTTATTTCTTTTAAATAAAGCCTTTTAAAGAGTATCCTACATCTTCATCACATATGCAATAATAATAATGTCTTGACTAGTAATTGTGCTGAGGGAAGAAAGGCTGCCAAAGGCATATGTTAAAAAAAGCAGCATAATTTAAAGACATGTTTAAAAAATGTCTCCTAGTTCCTGAGTTACTGTCTTTCCTTTTCATCTTTTTCACCTGCATAAATGAGCTGATGTTAAATCCTTAGGAAGCACAACGTGTATAAAATAGCAAGTATCAATAGTAACACTGATTTATTTGATAAATAATGTATTAAATATGTTATTAAATAATAATAACAACTTGCCTTGATATAATGCTTATAATCCTGAAGGATGCTAGAGTATAAGAAATGTATGTTGGTGAAGTACAACACAAAGAGGCGATTGGCACTAGTTTGAAATGGTCATAATACAAACGTGCACCATTTACTTCCATTGTTGTTTCACTACAAATGTTAGAAAAAGACTGTTTCAGGAACATTTCAGATAATTTTAAGTAACTTTATGAGAATTTTTCTAACCCATCGAATAAAGTCAGATGTTTCAGTAATTTTGACTTAAACAGTACAAGGCTCAGCATGTGTCACATCACCCTTTCTCAAATTACTTTTTTAACTGTACTGGTGTCATGACATTACATTTGTTGTTTCTGCCCATTCCAGAGTTCAGAAGAAAGTGCTAGCAAGTTGCGATTCTCCCTTTTCAAAGAGGATAAAAGTCCTGATTTTTGGCCCACCAAGGCAGCGAGACGATGGGCTTCAAAGTAATGGCATTTTTATGGTTAGGAAACCCATCGCTGGCCCCGGGGTCCATCTGGATGGTTTGGGTAATTGCTCCCCTCTGAGGGAAGAGGAAAGATATATTTTCTGTCAGAAAGCTTTTAAAAGAAATGGTGGGTCCTTGAAGCTGCTCAGGGGGCTGGAATAGCTCGTTCCTTGGCATACTAATGTATTCTGGAAAGACAGAACTAAGTAAGTGGAGAGATTACTTTGCCCAGCAATCATCCATGAGGTACACGTAGTAAGTGTTCGACAGTGCGCAGACATATGATGCCTAGCAGCTTAGGGCAAGAAGGATCCTAAATACAGCTGAAAGAAGAAAGAGGCAATTTAAGGTTTTGATGCAAAGATGTTTTTAATCAGCACGTGTGATACACTGGCATGTATCTTTCCTTGCTTCTAGCGAGGATTTAATTATGTGGAAAGCAACTTGTCCCTTGTTGAACACATGGGGTTAGGAGCCCCAGAATGTGATGGAGGATGTGATGACTAAAGTGACCATTAATTCTTGGGGGCTGATAGTTTCCTTTGCTCAGAAAGGAAATTCAGTACTTTCATCAATACATCAGACCCCAATCATGCTGCCCTGACATGGTGATTCTTGAATTAATTTCTCATTGTAATGATATGCATAGCCACATCCAATCCACAGTGGCTGCAGTTTTGGCAGATAATGTCAGAGTTTGGTCATGGGATAAGAATAGGTTCTCACAGGGTGGATGTAGGCACAGCCTCTAAAGACCAGACTGAAGATTCACCAGTTTCATTTATCAAAGGATGCTAGTCACAGATTAGCAACACTACACAGGTAGCAGCAATCTCTACTCCACTTAGTTATCTGGCTGAATCCTGCTTAAAATCAGTATTATGTAGCAGTTTTAATATTACCTGAACACAAAGGGGGTGCAAAATGATTTGCCAGTACTGCTTTGTGTGTGGCAGTAATGCCCATTAAGTGCAGTGTTGTGAAAATTTGCATTTGTTTCATTGATAACAATGTGCTTTTTAGACAGTAAATTTCTGCAGTAGTTAATTACTACCCCTGTGAGGTGGTTAATAAAGGTAATCAGACATGCTTTTCCAGCATGGTACCATCCCAGGAATGTGATAGCCGCTCAGAACCTGACTGCCTGCTGCGTACTGCTGCTTAATTAAGTATTCCTCAAGTGTTTGGTATTTAACTGCTTATGATATTTAAATTCTATCAGACCCATCTTCTAATGCTCATCACTCATTAAAAGAAGAAAAAAAAAAAAACAAAACAAAACAAAAAAATGCAGCCCCTTAAGAAGACAGTGCTAAATGGAAAATAACACTCAGCCTTGATCCAAACAGGAGTATAATGGGTTGGGATTTTCCATGTGGGACACTTAGAAATAGCCATGAACAAAAAAATATCTGACAGCAAAATTCTAGGGGCATAAATAACATAGTGTGAGTTAATGAATGAAGGTACCTTTTCAAATCCAATCTAAAGGTCTGTAAAGCTATTAAAACCCTATACGTTTCATGAGCAGTATGTGAAGCCTGTTTCTATAGGCATGTTTACACACAGTTTCCTATTGAAGGCTCCCAGTTGTGGCATTCTGTAGCTGTAAGCCATATTTATGTGCAGTTCTGCTAATCCCTGGTCCCAGGGCTGCCTGAAGTCTGTAGAAACACTTTGTCTCTGTATATAAGTCCTTGTAAATCTCTCCTTGTCGAAGGATTTAGTTCACTGATTGTCAGCCATGAGATACTTCATAAAACAATTCACAGAAGAATATAGCCTTCTTCTTCTGCCTTTTGCTGTCTAGGTTGTTACACCAGATAACCTTTTAATGACTGTATTCCATTTTAACTTCACTCCAGAGATAGAGAAAAAAAAGAAAGAAATGCTCCTTCTTTAATTCTATGCATTTTTCACATGGTGTCTGCTGCAGCAAATTAGTCAAGATTGATCGGGGCTGGTTTGGTTGGCTGGTTTGTTTGTTAATTCTGAAATACTGTCTTCTGTGATAGAAAGCAACATGTAACTCCCAGAAGGAGCTGGGTGAGTTTAGGAATTGTCAGACTCGTAGCTCTGGTACCCTTCACTTCTTAATCTAAAGAGGTCCACTTCAGAGAAGGAAATGCATGCCAGGAAAATTGAGTTCCTGGTGCCAAGGCAGTAATTGAGCAGTTTCTTTATCAGCAATTAGAGGCAGCCGTTGCTACAGAAGAAGCCAGAAGCAGTGAATATTGGCTGATGTTGTGCGAGAAGGGCATTCAGCATTGCTACCCTGGCCTGGGGTCCATAGCAGAGGCCAGCAAGGTCCAGACCTTCCCTGGCGTTCCCGTGCATCAGGCCATATTGGCAACATCACTTATTTAAGTATCACTCTTGATCTTAACAAATAACTGGAAACTTGATCTGCAGCACTGGACTTTGTTACTTAGACCCATCTCTAGCAGAACTGCGGCACAAGACCCATTAACGGGAGTGTCTACCTAATGATTTAAAACTGATGGATATGTAGGGAATGTGTACCACGATTAACATTATATATTCATTTGGCTTAGGTGATCAGACCAACTGGATGGTGAAGGAGTGAATGATTCATATGGTCTAATATGGATTAATTTATATGTAAATCACTTGGTAGTGCTGCAGCTTCTGCTTGAAAATCTGTCTGCGTTCAAGAAAGAAAAGCATATTTTGGTGACTACAAGAAGCTTTATATTATAAGGCTGTGTCACCTCTGTTTTAAAAACCTATCACAGAAGTCCAGAGGTTCACTTTCTCTAACTCATGAGAGCAGTGATTTTCACGGTGGCTAAATCTGAACCCCTCATCTGTCCTCCTGTTTGATGAATGCTTTCCTGTGAAGACAAGAATTGACAATCAATCAGCAAAACACATTCTTTTATGACTTGTTGAGACTAAGTTGTTGTTTCAGGACACGCTGATGATTTTTAGCACATAATTCACACCATGCAGTCAAGCATCAAGGTGACATGGCAGCTTTTAGATCTCAGACTGGATAACCTAAGTTTTATGAGAAATCTTTTTGCTGCTTCCACTAACCACTAGAGATAGTTCTTTTGCATGTGAAAATAATAAATTGGTTTGTTCAAAAGGTCGGGCATTAGGTGTGAATACTGGACTAATACTTGTGATGATAATACTAGTGATATTTTCACTTTTAAAATGATGATCCTGGATAGCTGATGAAAAGATGCTCAATTCCCTCGAAATGAATATGACCTAAGTGGAATTGATTCACAGGAATATCATATTCTTATTTTCTTTTTTCTTTTTTTTTTTTTTTTTTTTGTTATTTACCAACTTCTAGCATTTGATGAAAATAAAACTTTTTCTTCTTGAACCATTTCTGAGAGTGAATTAGTGACAGTATTAAATATGCCTTGCAACAATAGTATATTTTCGACTGTAAGTGTTAAGTTTATAGGGAGATATCAGGGTTTTTTCCAATTTATTTTTAGTGCCTTACAAAGTACAAAGAATTTTAAGACTGTGTTTTTAATGTCACAATTCCACTTTGCCAGAATGCATTATTGATAGTGAATCATGTAAAGATATTATTAAAAGCATCACACTGACATGATTCCTTAAAAATGCTTAGTTTCAATATTTATTTGAGATATTGCTCCTCAGGAGTCTCATTTACTCCCTAAATAAATCTCCAGTGGCTATCAGGATCACTATGTAGATATTATTTGGCACAAATAAAACAGAGGTCCACATTCAAAGTCCTGCCAGTCACCAATGGTTGCCTTCTGTTAATCCCTACCAGCTGCTGAACACTGAAACTTTTTCTTAAAGAATGTTGATCTTCCAGTGCTTACACATACAGTCACTACAGAGCAGAGCAAATAACCTCAAACTTACCTTGAGGTTTAGGAAGGATATACTAATCATAGCACCTTCCACAGCCCTCGTAGACACATTTTTACTTGCTCTAACCTCAGGCACCTGACAAATGTCCCTAGATCAGAAGCCTAAATGCCTTAAGCTTCCCTTTAGTCAACAAAAATAAATAAAGAATCACTGGTGGTGACAGATGGGCAGACTTTCCCTTTTTCCTTGACTATACAAGATGCCTGTAACAGCTATATCCCTAACTTAAGGCATGCAAATTTTTCAAGTGAGGTGTGATGAATCTCAGCTGTTGTCCTTGCATCTTTCCTCAACATGATGAAAAACTATGAACTACTTTTAAAGAGACTGCTGGAGAGAACAGATTACATTCCGAGGTCTGCCGCAGACTCTCCAGTGCCTGGGGGAGTGTCCAACTGACCGGAGGACAATTTCCCACTCCCATTAATATAGCCACGGTGCTGCTGGCACATCTCTGACTGAAAGGTAATGATGACCATCATAATCAGAATTTAAATCCGTTTTTCTTCCCATTGGACAGTGAGGTTCAATGACAACTATGTGATTAGAGCTGGAGCTTTGCAATTGTTTTGGGGTGTAGCTTCTGGGGAAAGAGGGTAAAATACAGTGTGTAGTGCTGTCTGCTCTTGCCAGTGGGATCAAAAGTTTCAGCATCTCTCTGTGCTTCTTCCTCTCTGCTTCTCTTATCAAAAAAGTCTGAGGTAGTTTACTGACAAGCAAAAGTTCACGTGTTCAGTGCAGGTGCTAGCTTCAGCTAAATGTCAATTTATACCAGTCTTAAGTAACGAGGACACATTACTTGTGCCAAGAACACAGGTATTTCGGATCTGATTAGATGCATAAGTGTCTCTGTGGATTAATTACCAGAATTTCTTGTGCTGGATTTGGCAGAGAGACACTCTCTGACTAGAATAACCCAAAAAAAAATTCTTTCTTCCTAATAGTTTAACATCTCTGGATTAATGTATTTCTTTCCTTTCCCCTCCATCTCCATTTCTAAGTCCTTTCTGCCTTGCAGTGTCATTCCTCCAATGTTAAAAATGACTGGTCCTTCTGGCCAAGATAGTTCTTAAAATTTAGAAAGAAGTTGTACTCTGTGGTGGGCTGACCCTGGCTGGACACCAGGTGCCCCCTAAAGCTGTTCTATCAGTGCCCTCTTCATCTGGACAGAGGGGAGAGAATATAATGAAAGGCTCGTGGGTCAAGGTAAGGACAGGGAGACATCACTCACCAATTACCGTCATAGGCAAAACAGACCTGACTTGGGGAAATCAGTTTAATTTATTACAAATCAAATCAGAGCAGGGTAATGAGAAATAAAACCAAATCTTAAAACACTTTCCCCACATCCCTCTCTTATTCCCAGGCTCAGCTTCACTGCTGATTTCTCTCCTTCACACCCCAGCAGCACAGGGGGACGGGGAATGGGGGTTGCGGTCAGTCCATCACCCCTTGTCTCTGCCGCTCCTTCCTCCTCGTGGGGGGACTCCTCACACTCTTCCCCTGCTCCAGCGTGGGGTCCCTCCCACGGGAGCCAGTCCTCCATGAACTTCTCCCACGTGAGTCCTTCCCACGGGCTGCAGCTCTTCCTGAGCTGCTCCAGTGTGGGTCCCTCCCACGGGGTGCACCCTTCAGGCACAGACTGTTCCTGCGTGGGTCCCCCACGGGGTCACAAGTCCCCCCAGCAAACCTGCTCCAGCCTGGGCTCCTCTCTCCACGGGGCCACAGGTCCTGCCAGGAGCCTGCTCCAGCGTGGGCTTCCCACGGGGTCACAGCCTCCTTCGTGCACCCCCCTGCTCCGGCGTGGGGTCCCCCACGGGGTGCAGGTGGGGATCTGCTCCCCCGTGGACCTCCCTGGGTGCGGGGCACAGCCTGCCTCACCGTGGTCTTCATCATGGGCTGCAGGGGAATCTCTGCTCTGGCCCCTGGATCTCCTCCTCCCCCTCCTTCTTCTCTGACCTTGGTGTCTGCAGAGTTGTTTCTCTCACATATTCTCACTCCTCTCTCTGTCTGATGTTGCTGTTGCACAGGTTTTTTCCCTCTTCTTAAATACATTACCCCAGATGTGCTACTACCATCACTGATGGGGTCAGCCTTGGCCAGTGGTGGATCTGTCTCGGAGCCGGCTGCATCGGCTCTGTCAGACACAGGGGAAGCTTCTGTGGGCTTCTCACAGAAGCCACCCCTGTAGCCCACCCGCTAACAAAACTCTGCCACAAGAACCCAATACATACTCCCATATTTTTTGCTTCTTCTCTTTGCCTACCTGTAAATTATTTCCTTCTATCTTAGTGACTGTGTAACTAAATCTGAGGATGTAGCAAAGAAGACAGTTCTTTGCATTGCTCCCCTGCAAGGGTAGCAAAATAGGAGGATCTGGCCTGTTGCTTTAGTTTGCCCTAGTCCTGGAAAGCCGAAACATCTGGTGGTTCTTCTGAGGGGCAGGGAGTGGGTGTGGGGCAGGGGGGCAGCTGCTGGGGAGAAGGACCCCACAGCTCTCCATAGGGCTCTCCATAGGGGTCTCCATCCAGAGCTCTCAGCCATCCTTGGCTTCTCAGTCTCGGGGCAACAACAGAAATCACTTGTGCTTACATCTGTAAGCCTGAAGTGTCCCCTGAGCTGGTTTACTGCATGACAGAAAATTGCTCACCTAAAAAGTTTGCAAGATCCATTTTATGGGCCCATCTCTATGCAAACTTCTGCCTGTCCCTTTAAAGCATCAATCCACACACAAAATAAAGAAATCTTGCATAAAGTTTGTCTATGCAGTGTTGACATATATGCAATAAGTTCCTATCCAGTCTTATTTTTCCCTATAAGCCATTCATTTCCAAGTTTAGGACTTTGAAATACAACTTCTGAATAGCTCTACTGCAGAGCAGTTAATATTGGACTTTTCTGTCATTTAATTTAATGCTACCAAGTCCTCCCCATTTCTCCACATTCACCTCGCACACATTGAGTGTCTCTCTCTCTCTTTCACTTCAGTCTTACAGCTTTTGAAATACACACCATTAAATGGATACTGTCATGGGATTTACTCCTTGCAGTTTGTCCCTGAGGACTGTAGAAATGAAATTTTAATTTTTTATAGCAACCAGAGTTTGGTGGGCCTTCTGTGCATCCTATGCTCCCCCTCATTTTTTCAGGAGGAGAGGGGCACTTAATGGCTCCATATAATTTTTTCCTTTCTGGATTATTAGAAGTCCACAGAGAAGCTAAGCCACTCTAAGCTTCAAAGGGCCTTACATTAATGAGTAAGACACATCACATGAATAATGCAGGTTACATGGAGCAGAAATAAAGACCGGTGACACTACTGTAAACTATCTGCTAACAGCACTGTAATAAAATAAGGGAAGAAGCAAAAGGACTTCTGTGTTTTGTGTCTGATTAAATTGGCTTATGGAAAGAAAGATACAAAATATAATGAAGTCATAACTTTGTAATACACTACGACAAGAAGGAACTATGCCTTGCAAGGAGGCCAAATGATGTGCATTTCTAAAGTGGCAAGGCATTTTGGAAGACTTTGTTGCTCAGTAGTCAGCATACATATACTGAAGTGCAGGGCACTATCCTGGTAAAAAGCCTTTTAAAGGTCTAAGTAACCATGTAAATACAGATGCATGCAAAGTCACTAGAGCAACACTTCACATTATCAGCCATAAGGCTGGACACATTACCTTAGTTTTTAGGGAACATATCCGTGACAAATCCTACTGCAGCTCTCATTTTCAGGCCCTTACCCTCAGTAGCATAAGTATTGAAATGTTATTACCATCAAAAACATTCTTTTTGTTGTTAAAAAATAAAATCTACTCTTATAAGGAGTCATGAAAGGTGGAATATGTTTCAAAATTGCCTGGTTTTACTAGTAGGCATTTTTGCTATGTGTATGAATGCATACTTTATATGCATATACCCAAGTATGTGTTTTAAGAAACAGTATAGCAGCTTC